AATTTTCATTTTAACATGTTAACTGTAGTACACAGTGTTTAATTATAACATGGTTTAATGACCGCTCGAGAATAATGTTCAGTTTACATCATATCTTAAAGGAGAACATAGATATTTATTCATTATTACATAATCTATTATGATCAAATTTGCTAAGATACACTTTTTCACCCGCAATTGTACACTTCTGGGCCGAAGAAAGGGTCCTGTAATCAAGAAAAGACGCATCCTGCACCAGCTGTGCGGCAACTAGAAAACTTTTAGCGTGGCCCAGCACAATGTTTTATGGATAATTCCTGTTGCGTTTATTAAAAGAATAAACCAAAACTTGCCGCTGTTCTCCGCGTACTATATGGGAAATTACCCGAGCCGAAAGAAACCAGGAAACGGAAAGAGATATAAAAGTGTATAAAGTTATATATTTCAATATTTCATCCTGGAGGCGCAGCATCAAGTCCTTTGGCCTGCAATATTAAATTGTGTTGATCGAACTGAGCTCTCGAGGAGCAGAATGCGGTAATGCCGCCTGTCCGTTTTCCTTGGAACTTGGCCACGTAAGCACGTTTTAAATTGAATTTCGCTGTGGGCCAGCCGCTTGTCAGCATAACAGACACATTGAAATCCGGCGACACGAGAAATAGTCCAACAAATCGAGGCCCAGAGGCAATAATCCTTATAAAAAACAAAGAAACAAGGAAAATGAAAAATGGGAGAATTAGGCTTATTGGGGATGGCAGAATCTGCGAAGCGAAGACATTTGACACCTACAGTGGTTATAGTAAATAAATTACTTTTTTTAATATCACACCGATTCAGCATCATTGGACTTACAATTTTTGCGAATAAAAAACTAATGTTGTTTGACGTCATAAAAAAAGAGCACAATTGTACATTAAATCGCAGTTTCCGCATGAAGCAACTGATAACACTAATAAGGGTAAGGATTTATTCATGAGTAAATTTAAAATTACAGTTCTTTAAATAATGTAATTTGATAATTATTATTGCAATGATTGTGAAATCATGGATAAAGGTGTCTAAAAGTATGCAATGAAAAAAACGTTGCCTTTCGGAATAAATTAATCTGACTTATTTTAAACCTTTAGACGCCTTTATAAATAAGCACTTGTGATTTATCTAACACTTTTTACAATAATAAAAAGTAAAACAAAAAGACTGGTATGCCGAAAGTTCACTCACCTTTTACTGTATGGCTAAAAATTTTTGTAAGCCCGCTAGTGTGGTGTTCTGCTAATGGTTTATGCTGCTCCTAAGACTTTAATTACAATACATCTGCCTGGAGAGGAACACAATATTCGGAGGTGAAAATGGGATCCCTATCTATTGTTGTACTCCAGCCATTGTTGAATGGAAAAGGGAACAAGGAGTTTTGCAAAAATTTAATCATGCCACAGATGCCGCAGGGCTTATAACAAAACAAAACTATTACCAGCACACGTACACCCATCAACCCAACCATTTTCCGTTGTTCACAACACGGAAAATCGACGACCAAAAAGGGGCAGCCGCAGGTGAATAAAATCAACTTTTTGTTTATGCCTTTGTTTTTTATTTCCTGCTCTACACTGAGCTGATTTCGAATGTAATGCAATCGATTAGCTGAGGGGAGATATCGGCTATAAAAGGCTGGGAAAAAACCCATTGGAAAATAAAGCCATAAAGCATAAAACGCAAACAGCAGGCGACAGGCATCAAATATGCATTGAAATGGGAATTGCAAAAAACCCCATCAAGCGATCCGATGCGTAGATAAATATTGACTGTCGCCACTTGACAATATATAAAATTTCAATTAATTATGGATAGCTTTAAAAGCGAGCCGTGTTCACTGCCTTTTGTTCTAAGTGGATTTGTATTAATGAGTTTGCGGCCTGTTGGCAAAATAAATGTCATAGTGCTCTACTGGGACTTTATGGAATGATGAAACAAATATTTATATTTATTCAAAAAAATATCTATAAATCCTCTTTTGTATTAAACTTTTTTTTGATGTTAATATCAAATTGAAAAGATTATTAACTCAATGTATTAATAACAGAATATTAATTTACATTTATATTTGCGCTACCATCATTAAATAAATTGGGCAAGGTTAAGTAAAAATACAAAAAAAAACTCAATTTCTCCACCCTTAAAACACTCATTCAACAAATATCTATATATCCCCTTTTGTAATCAACTGTTTTTTATTGATTATAATAACACATGGAAAATAATACTAGATTAATGTATTAATAACAGAGTATTAATATACATTTATATACTCGCCATCATCATTAAATAAATTGGGCAAAGTTAAGTAAAAATACAAAAAAATGCCCACTTTCTCCACCCAAAAGGCCCATCCCTAACAAAATTTATTTTCATTTCTCTCGCTTTGGGTAGCCATAAGAGTAATGACTTTCTTGTGTGCTAGGCGCGCAATTTTTAAATGCATTAAAAAGTGTTACACTCGAGTGCCGCACATTTATCACACACTCCGGGCCAAAAAAAAACACACACTTAGGCATAGACAAGCATAATGGAAAATCGCATTTAAATTGTTTGGCTCACAAATAAATTGTTGTAATTCATCACTCAAACTCAACTTGGCGACGAAAGTCGTCAGATACTCGCACAAATTGATTGACTTCGATTCAATTGAATTTTAACGTCGGACGGAGCTGGCGTTCATATTTCATTCTATAACAAATTATTATCCACTGCTCGTATAAGTTATATGAAATGCGGCCCGGCAATTCTTTGACAAAAGCATGACAGACACTTTATTAGGTTTCGCTATTAATTTGCATGGATTTTTCATTGCGTATGCACAGCATGCGATTCTTTTCAAAAAGCCCTTTTCAAGGATACAAAAAAAGGAAATAAAAACATACTACCTATACAATCACGCGCAGCACTGACAGCGAAATCACAAAATTCCATTAATTTTAAGCAGTCAATCAAAATTGCCAACTTGAAGTCGATTATATTATGCTAATGAATTGGGGAAGGAGGCCGATGTGGACCGGCTGTTGGTTGCTGGAGTTGTCCTAGACAGAGGACTAACCGGAATATATTGGCTGGTCCCCTAGAAAGTCAGATTCCGCCCAGACATAAGTCATCGGCCATCAGCAGTCACCATCACTCATTATTATTTATTATTTGCGCAGCACACACGGCGTATGCGTGATGCGCGAGGAGTCGGAAGCAAAGGGTGATTCCGTTTCAACACTTCAATATTCAAAAAATGTAATGCGGATTTAGTTTACTGAATTCCCGCAACTAAGTGGCACTTAATTGCTTTCACGCAGCGCCATTTACAAATATTTATAAAGCTGTCATTTGAGTGCTCAATTGTAGACAAATTAAATTATGCTCTATGGCCGAGAGGGCACTTCACATCGGTTTACCCTTGCCACATATATAGATCCCATCTATGGCTCATTTCGAGTGCTTAGTCAACTCGTTTAATTGTTGATTCCAACTTACACGAGCGCACACACGAGCGGAGGGACTTTCTCTGCCTTCTCGCCAAGGCAAAATAATATTTGTTTATGCAAATTGTATTTAATTAATACATAAACATGTGTTTGCCGTGCTCCGGTCGACGTGGATGTTGTTTTTGGCTGCCACTTAAAGCTCTGCGGTCAGAACGCGGCATCAGAAAATGAAGGAAACTCGAGCCTTCTCCTGTTGGCATGCGAGAAATTTTGAAATTTTGTGGTTTCCTGGCATTAATTCCCACAAGCCGCAACGCAGATGAGAAGAAACATCTTTCTACGCAAAATAATCAGTTTAATTTAACATTTTTAAAGTACCTTTTTGTACAGGGATTAAACAAGTATAACAAGTTTGAACCATATTTTTGAGACAACAGATTATCGTCATACCCTTAAAAAATATATATTTAAAATGTCCTATAGCTTCTATAAATTTTAAAAATTATGTTGCTTCTTAGAAATATTTATTTATTTAGTCCCATTTTAACTCTTCAAATTAAGCAAGGAGATTAAGCTTGCTCCCGAACTCATACTTTTTTATAGAATTAAAACAAAGCAATACATATATTTTTAACTATCTTTTTTTCAACGAAATTAAATTTCTTTTACAAAAATTCCACGTTTCTATCTGTGTAAATAAATAATCTTCACTTTCACGGCTATTAGCAATTTAATGGCAACATCATCAGCCGGAAGACCACATTATACACATCGCTCTCGAAAAAGTTCTGCTTATAGAGCCGTTTCTTATGTGTTCGAGTTCGATACAGACCACGTATCATTTTAAAACTCGTTTAGGAATGTTGTTCGACCCAAACCAAATGGGAAACTAGCTTGTAGAAATTCCTAGGTGGATTCAATCGAATGGGAAATGCCCTCCTCTCAAACAAGCAAGCATAAGCAATAATAGCCACTACTAACTCAATTTTATTTAGCAAAGCTGGGATAACTGGGCCATGAGTAAAGCCAAACACCAGAGAATGTGAGCTGAATTTTTGTTATCATTAAGCGTGAGTTCCTAAAGATGCTCTTAACCATTCCGTTTAGAAAGTTCCGTAGCCACAGCATCGATGAGTAGACTAACCTTATTTTTCCCAGCTACGAAAAATGGAAATTTAAAAAATGCCTCACACACACACCGACATCCGCACGCAGACATACATAAAACATGTTTTGGCCCCGGTCGGCAAATAGAAAAACCAACAAAAAAGGTTCTCGCAAAGCGCTGCGGAAAACTGTGAGACGGAAACTGAATATCGAACACGTTTCTTTACTTTGTCGCCCTGCCATATGGGTCTGTACAATAGTGTTAGTGCGCCTGTATCTGTGTGTTTCTGTATCTCGATGTTTGGCAGCGCCTAGATTTCTGCAACATTTTATTTTGATATTTGTGGATGTATGTTTGGGTGTTAACAATTTTTGATAAACTGCAGTAGGATCTTTAAACAATCCTTACAATTAGTTTAAATATGTTTCTTTGTTTTATTTCTCTTTCAGCTACTGGGCGGTGACCAATATTGACTATATCCACTCAAGGACCAGCAATCGGGTTTTTATGATGATCTTCTGCGTCTGGACGGCCGCGGTGATTGTCTCCCTGGCGCCCCAGTTCGGTTGGAAAGATCCCGACTATCTACAACGCATCGAGCAGCAGAAGTGCATGGTATCGCAGGATGTTTCCTATCAGGTGGGAAGGCAAAAGCGAAAGCCCTTGTTTATTCAGGCGTTTCCTGTACTCACACCCTCACACCCTTGTCCTTTGCAGGTATTTGCCACCTGTTGCACATTTTACGTGCCACTGCTGGTTATCCTGGCGCTGTACTGGAAAATCTATCAAACGGCCCGCAAACGCATTCATCGCCGACGACCGCGACCCGTCGAAGCGGCGGTCAATAATAATCAGGTAAAGTGCAGACTTTATATTCACTAAACCCAATCGATTGACAGCCTTAATTGACCGGACTTAATAGCGTACATATATAGACACTTTACCTTGGTGGACAGCTGTATTCATTAGGTAGTTGTTCTATCTAAGGAAAGTCAAATATACTTCAAACTTTAAGTACAATAAATAATTGAATAATAATTTCGTTTTGTTTTCTATGAACGTTATAAAAACCTTTGATAGTATTTGATATTGAATAACAAAATTCAATACTTTTAAAAATCCAACTTAAAATATTTTATTCACGGTAAAAAATAATATATATATTGTCATTCATATTTACCTACTTTCAATGCTTCATGTTCACTATGAATATTTTTATTATTCGGAGTTAACGTCATACAAAATTCAATTTAGCACCCTGTAATGCCTTCGAAATTCGCTTCTCAAGTCAAAGCCGCAGCCTGGCCATTGCAATTATGCCCCCGATCGAAGCGAACCGCGCCCATTTAGGCCACAATTTCGACCGAACCACAAGGGTCAGTCAAAGGCCAAACCGCAGGCAACATTCTGAAATTTCTATGCACATGACTTGAGGCAGACCTTACGAAATTATACTGTCCAATTTAAATATGCATAGCACAGGCCACCAAACCCAAAGGGAATGGGGCTGTAATTAGGCAGTATCATCCCGAGTGATGAAATATGCATTGCCAAGGATATTGGTATAGCCAGAAGAAAAAGCTTAGAGGGCCAGCATAGCTTAAGTTAAGCATTCGCCACGTGTACATTAAAGCCTTCTTGGCCGAAAGTTGAGCGATAAGTGGCAGCTTGTCCTGACTTGCGAGAGTGTGTGTATGAGTCCTTTGGCCAGAAGTTTCTGCCCTAATGCGTCAGCTGGTCAAACTAATACGCACAGGATGTGTTCGGGGCAAGTCTGGCCAAATTGTAATTTGTTTTCGCTCCGAAGAAAGAATTTTCAACAAGTTCCAAGTTGTTTATCAACGAAATTAAAAACTAATTTTCGCTGCAAAAGAATCTTTCGCTTGACTTTGCTTAACTTTTAACACGCAGTAGAGTATCCAGAGATTGTTTAGTTTTGCCCTCTAACCGACTTTTTCGCTCAGGCTTTTTATTTATTTTTCTTCAATCTTGACCTGACCTGCCGGCAAGATGCTACTTAGCTTAAGCTCGGTGCTTACCAAATTGAAAATGACCATTTGACGTAAAAATGTTTGCAACCACTTACCAACACATGGGCATTCGTGTACAGTTTTGGGCAGAAGAATAGTGGTGTTTTGGAAAGTGGCAATGCGGTTCTTTTTAAACGAGGGTAGTCTACATGAATACATTTATATTACCAAAAGATTTTGTTTTTGCATAATATTTTCAAATGGTATACTTCTCATAAACTTGAATTTTTCCGAAAAAAAACCATTTAACTCAAAAAATATTAACATGACATTGAGAAATCGGGCCTAAATATATTATTTAAACTATATACATATGTCATTGAGTCCACCTTTATAAATAGTAACATGACATTGAGATTCTTTTTTTTTCCGAAAAAGCAATTTAACTCAAGAGCAAAAGTTGGCATGACATTGAGAAATCGGGCCTAAACGTCTTATTTGAGCTATTTACATACGTCATTAAATCCACCTCTATTTCTTAATTTTGTTTGCCTGTTAACTATCGAAAAGGTGATAAAGTTTTCAAATAAATTTAAGTATTTAATTGTTTTTGTTTGTAATTGTTAACTGATACCTTTCTATTGTTTTGACCGCATCTGTATAAGGCCACGTGTGTGCATATCACACTGACTAAGGCAAAAAGTCATTGGAATCACAAATTCAATGCGCAAACAAGGCAAGTTGTCCACTATTTGCCATTCGTACACATGTCCTGTCCCGTCCCGAGTCCTGCCCCGATGTCCTGCTCCCATGTCCTCCGCCGATGTCCGGCCCAATCCAGCCTCACATGCGTGCTTTAGTTGCATGTCAACACACTTACCCGCACACCAACAGCACACACACCCACCACCCACACCCACATCCATTTAGTGCCACTCACTAGTCGGGTTCCCTGTCCTTGCTTGTTGATTTTAGAATATATTTACCCTGCACACACATCTGATATATCCCTTACACCAGTTCTGTTGACCATGCGATCGAATTGAAAAGATTTCCCGACATTCGAGGCTTTTTCCATCCCCAGAAAAGGGCATTTGACCTGCGACTTGTTATTCATTGGTTTTATGCCTTCTTTTTTTAACTAAATGCTTTCAAATCGAAAATTGCTATCCTGCCCTGTGACGAGGGTATACATTCGATTTTAGCCCGCTAAAAAGGCTTTGCCCGACATAAATTTCGAGCTAATTGCATTTGCATTCGGTATGTTTATTGGCAAATTGCTAAATAATTCGACGGCACAAAGCGGCCTAATCGAATTCACAAATGTAACTATCATTGGCTGAAACTAATTTTCCCCGAACATAACTCGATGTTTGTATTTTTAATTGAAATGTAATTTTTATGCCGGTCACACACACACATTGATTTTGCAATTAACTGATGGAAGGCAGTGGGGCGGCGGGCAAATGGCAATTAAGGGAAGCAGGTATTATCTGTAATTCAGCTATTGGCATTATGTCCGGGCGAGCGGTCGGCAAATGTTATTAATAATCCAGCATCGCAGGCCGAGTTGCAAACGTCCAAATGCCCAAGGGCTGGCCACACACACCATCATCACAATCGCATTTGCAACAACATCTCGAATTGATTGCTCCAGATATTGACACTATTTTCATAGCCAAACATGTGACAAAACAGTCAAGGACTAGACGTCGCATGAGTGAAAAGCATATTTGGCCAACTCGCCATCTGCGACACACGAAGACGTGTTTGTGTCTGGGAAAATACTCAACAAACCCAACAGCAAAACTGGGCAAAATATATAGCAAATGAACCATGCAGCCCTTTAATAAAATTGTGTAGTATATCAAATATGATATTACAAAATACCAGAATAAATGCAATATATAATTAAACTTAAGGAAATTTAAGTTGATAGATACCGAAGTTTTTCGATAGGGTTTTTTTACTAAAAATAATATGCAGACCAATCCACAAATATCATATTTGTGCAAATTTCATAGGATTTTTAAACTGTTCTTATAAAAATCCATTCGTTTAATAAGCAATCTGAAATACCTAGATAAAACAGTAATGAATTTATAAAAACCTTAATTCTTGGCAATTAAAGTACAAATATTCCATCGTTACTTTACCCAGCTTCATTTAAAAGTAAATCTAAACATCCATTTTAATTAATTTTACAAAAAATGCAGTCCTTGTTATATATCTGTTGAGGCTCAGTTTGCATTTGATTTTGCTGTTATTTATTGCGGATTTATTTTAATTTTCGCCTAGCTGCCTTCGCAGCGGGACCCTTGGCCTCCTGAAGCCATAAATTTTGTTGCCCAGTGTAGTTAATACCAGAGCATTCTTGTCACACTCAGGACCAACATAAATCGCATGAAAACACATTATTGAATACACGCACACACGTAAGCGTTTCTTTTTCGGAAGCCGAACATGTGTCTCGGCAAGAAAAACAATTAAATAAGAAAACAATTTACATAAATTAGCTAAAGTGCCAGAAATGGCTAAGGACTAGAAACGAGTGTATCGTTTATGCAAACGCTTAAATACACAGAGGCGGAAAAACAGTCGGCTGACAGCACATCTGCATAAAATTCACATTGAGCCGAGGTTGTATCCGCATCCTTATCGTTATTGCTGAACTGTTGAAAAGAGAGCGCTTATCGCTCTTATCACGTGCATGTGTGTGTGTGTGTTGGCCATGTTTGCTTTGGTATTTAAGTAACACACGAGTGCGTAGATACTTTAGTTTTCCCCGAAGGAATCTTCCCCCGCCATTGTTTTCCTTGGCATGACAATGATGGCTTTTCTCTGCGCTTCGAATTTATCTAGGTGAAGATTCAATGAGAGGCTCCTTCAAGGCTTCAATGGAAATTCAATACCAGCCCAAGCTTTAACCGAAAATGAAGCCTGTTATTTATTAATTTCGGACAGACTTCAACCTCCCACTGGGATAGCTCATCTTACCGCCTTTTCTCGTTGGGCCTAATTAAGCTTAAACTCTTCAATATTTAATAAGCTATCTGACCGTTCAACCCGCAGACCTTTCCTTTCATTTTTGCAACCCACAAGACACTTGACGAGCACTTTGCTGCTCGACTTTCCTATAGTTTTTGGCCCACAAAATGAAGGTCACTCGCATGGGGCCATGCTGTAAGCCCATTTAATACTATTTGTGCAAATATTCACACCAATCCTGGATCGCCAGCGACTCGGAACCTTTTCCCCGTCGCTGAAAGTTCCGCACACGAAGGCAAAATCAGCATAATTTTATTTATTTAAAGCAATATCGACTGGCCGAAGGGTCAACAGACCGCACCGAAGGCGACAAAGATGACGGGCCGATGGCAAAGGGTTGGACTACTCAATTACTTTAATTTGGTGGGATTGGAGGCGACGAAAATACGCACACAAAGGGGTATATTTAGAAAATAAGAAGGTCGAAATATAGGTACACTGCGATACATTAGAGTATGATGCAGCCTGCTGTACGTATTTTTAAATACCATGGGTTTTCTAAACTTTTGTCAAAAGTGAAAACTAAAATATTCTATCAGCAAAAAAGTTATAATTACTTTTGTCACTATGTGTTTTAATACTAGATACAATTTGTTATTTATTTTAAGGCTTGCCTTTATATCTTGCTTACTAAATTCTATTGAAGTATTGTAACTGAAATTAATCAATTTTAAAAAAGATATTTCAGGTCTTTCTACTTTTCAAAATTAATAAATACGATTTTCTTTTAAACCTTTTGATAAAAAATAAATAAATCAAATATAGGTAGCTACAAACAATAATAATAACATCGAATTATTTTATCGATAATTGTATAATATAAAATATTTATAGATTGCTTATTTTTAAAGATTTCCCCAATTAATACGAAACCAGAAATAGAAGCTAATCGAATTTTTCTTAAGAACTGAACTCCCTCTGAGTCGAAGTTCATTGTCCCTGCGAACTGAATACACTACCAACGAAAAAAAAGGATACGCGGCTGGGAAAAAATCAAAGAGGTCAAGCACTGGGAGCAGTCAAACGTGAAATTTATTTTGAGCTGCGAAGTGGGCACTTTGGGAGATGTTCTTGGGCGACTGTAACAAATACACACAATTTATTTACGGGACGCAACCCACTTACATATGCATATGGTAACAGGAGAGCAAAAGCCAAAAAAAAGGGGATCGGATAGGATCTTTCGGCTCGGCCAGGAACTTTTTTGGATATGCGTACAAATTGCGGTTTATTGAAGCGTGAGGCACAAAAAGCCGAAAATGTAAATTTGACGCCACTCTTTTGTTATTCATTTTAATGCTGTGCGAAGAAGTATGAATTTAATTTGGAGTCATGCACACGGGTCAAAGGCGAAAAATCAATGCAGACGCAACCGGAGGACCTCCACTCACCACCCAAACTATCTCTATTCTTTCAGCCGGACGGAGGTGGGGCAGCAGATACGAAGCTTAATCGACTGCGTCTACGGCTCGGCCGATTCTCCACGGCCAAGACCAAGGGCGGAAGTGCCGGGGGCGTCTCGGGACCCGGATCCGGGGGCAGGGCCCTGGGCCTCGTTGATGGCAACTCGACGAACACGGTCAACACCGTCGAGGACACCGAGTTCAGCAGCTCGAATGTGGACAGCAAAAGTCGGGCCGGCGTCGAGGTAAGTGCACAGTACCAACACTCGAAAGTAAAATTAGAAAGTCTTTACTGTACTTTAGTAAGTCTATTTTGATTCCGTCTTAGAAAACCTCCTATATCTGTAAGCACAAAAACACCTGTATATGAACAGTAAAAACAAATATGTACGTGTATATTGAAAACTTTGAATATATACAAATACAATTTAACTTGACAATCAAGCTACATATCATATCAATTACCATATTATTTATGTTCATTTAAGCACCTCTTAATCTTTTATTTAAAAAATCAAGGTTTAAAAGATTTACATACATTAACAATAAATGCTAAAATTAATATTTTAAACTAATAAAAACAATGTCAGATGAAAATCATACATTATATATAGCATCAAAATATTTTAAATCTTTGAACTTACTGCGTTTTAAAGTCAGTGTATTTTCTGAATTACTTAAACATTTTTATAGATGTCTCTGCATTGCAAAAATAAATAGTGTTCATTTTTCTTTGCAGCAATTTAAGCAAAAATTCCGGTTTTAATTTACAGAAATATTTTTTTGCAGCTCTACATTTTTTCCAAGTGAGCCAAAGAAAACAATGCGCATATTTGGGTTTAAAGCCAAATTTCATAACGCCTGACATGTGCCCAACGATCTGGGCCTTGCTTCCTGGGCCCCGAATGCACACGCACACTTTAATGAAAGGCACACAGATAGCCGGGGACATAGGCTGACCAAAAATAAACCCACCAGAACTCAGCTCATTTCCCGCTTTATTATGCGACTCCAAATACGGTGTGCCCTCTGCCCAGCCGTCTTTTACCTTTGGGAGCTGGAAATGATTTTTCCTCTTGGCTACCTTTTCACGGGGCTTTTCCATCTTGGGCTGCCGTCCCCAGCCTTTTTTCAGTCGGCTAATGTCTCATTAGCCCAGCTGTCGTCGCAGCAATATGCACTTGAGAATTCCTTGGGAAACATTTCCTGATAATGATCCAAGGGATGCGGGGTGCGATTATCCTCTTCCTTGTCTCCCTGAGACACATTTGTTGGGAACGGATGAATTATATATATTTCTAGTCCCAGGTTTGGTCCTTCCCCTTTACATTTTTGAGTAAACCTTTTGTGAGAAAAAAATAAAAAGTGTCTAAGGTTCTCTATAATAAAATAACGATTTCAAAAAGTTGCTTCTTACATGTCTACACAGGACAAAACATCATTACCCTTTTCATTTTAGTTGGGTTTTTCGTTATGAGTACCTTATATTATAAATAATTTTGTATTAAAATTTAGATTTTATAGCGTAATCCAAATTAAAGAGTCATAAAGTTTAATTATTTCCTAAGCATTTTTAAACGTTTCGAATAACTTTCCAAATGCTTTTCCAATTAGACAATTTATGGCAATTTGATAATTGCAAATGGAGCTGTTGGCCTGAGTGCTGGGATAAGAAACCCACGCCCACTCCGAAGTATAAGCCCAAGCAATCCAGGCAAATTATCCGCCACTCGACCAAAATGTCAGCGATAAAATGCAGGCAAAGCTTTCGGTTTATACGGGGGAAATCCCCAAGAAAGAGGCAGATGGCCCGAACCCAAATTTGTATTTAGCCGCATTTTATGTACTTCAATTTTCGGCCAGCGCTTTTATGGCTGAAAAATAATCCAAGCGGGGCCACACATTCAATAATAACACGCATTAAAGCGAAGGGGCGAAAGCAAGCCATAAAAGAGCAGAGCCGAAATAAATTGCCTGAACGTTTTGTTTGCATTGCTACAAGCCGGGCCAATACCTTTGCACTGGTCGAAACGAGGTGGCGAAGTCAAGGCGACTGGCCAAAGGTCAGGGGGCGGGGTCAGGGGCCGGGATGGAATCGCCAGGTTCGTGCCGGTTAAGTAATAGCAAAGTCAAATATAAGCTGTGACAAGGATACGCCCCTCCTCCTCCTTGGCATGCAAAAAGCGGGACAGAGACAAAAGAGCAGAAAGCGAGAAAGGCAGATTCAAATGAAAATAAGATGGGAATAAACATCTGCAGAGGTCGAAATTAGAAATACTCTTTCTGGAAAGGTAGTTCTAAGATCCCTCAAAAAGGTGTCTAAAAGTATGCAGTAAAAAATTCACTGAATCCAGTGGACTTCGGGATCCAAAGTATTTTCCTGTATACCGTCTTTACTAGTCTTTTTATAACCGTTCTCCCAAGAAACTTACAGGTTAAATAGACCAATATAACAGTTAAATGGTCCCAAACCATCGAATTATTAATTTGACCAACGAAAAAGGCTCTCTCTCAACCAGAAAATATACACAACTTACCACTTTATGGTAATTTTACTATTAAATATTAACCAAATCTTAACTTTCTGAATTGGTTAATTTTAACCATAACATTTCTTTGTGTATTGTAATTTGTTTGTCACCCTTAAAATTTTTATATTTCTTCAATGCCATTTTCTAACTCAAGTCTTGAAAATACTTCAAGTAAACCGACTCAATTTTAAATGTGGCATTAGATACATATTTTGCTAATATGAATTTTTGTTTTTTGTTTTACAATTACACGTTTTTTTAAATAATCATAAGTTTCAAATAAAATTTTATCAACAAAAAACAAAGTGCTTGTAAACCTTTCTTCCAATTTTAATTAAAGGTCATAAGTAAATAAATTTTATTTACTCTTAACTTGTTTGCAAACCTCTGACTAAAGTGCTAGTGCCCAATGAAGGGTATGAGAACAAAATAGCAACAGGAGCCAATAGTCAATTGGAGCGAGGAAAATGGAGGTTGGCCTTTGGGGGCCTTTGACTCCTTGACCCGTGGATTTCGATTGCGATTCCCATTCTGATTCTGGGCCGCCTAACAAGGCACTCAATACGCTTGAGTAATTGAGGAAAATATGTTGATGGCTTATGGCTAACAGCTTTCGTTTCCATTCGCTTGGCCAACATAACTCCTCTTTTCTTCAGCACTCACCCCATCCTGGACCTGAGATTAAATATTTACTTGGGAATGGCTTCCACACACCTCTCGTTCGGTCTACTTCCTCTTGGGCAAATAAGTGGACGGTCAAATAAATAAACAAACACACTTTTGCACGCATGGCCCAAAGCAAATATATAAATTTATTAAAGTTGTGTGTGCCTTAAATATGACCAAAAAAATGCACAGAAAAGTCTGCAAAAAATAAGAATAAACAAGCAGAAGTGAAAATAAAATATCTGTGAATACTTACGTTTCCAGCTGCATAATTACGGAAGCTGGTCGAGTGAATGGGGAAAATTAAACTTTTTTCCTCTTCAATGGGTGTCCTTCGCTGCAGGTGCAAAATTGCAAAGTCCTCTGTGCTCCAATGTGCTGCCCCTCCCCCTCATTTCGCCCATGTTTCCCATTGTTCACCATTGTTCGGTATCTGTAAATTAAACTACGCTCTTTGCTTTGGCAATTGGAAGCTTTGTTGCTGATTTGACTTGGCTTCGCTTTGATTTGTTCGGGCTTTGATTTGATTTTTCCTTTGCTGCCTGCACCATATTAAAAATGCTGCAGGAAGGAGCAGATCGAACACACAATTACAATGCCCATGACAATGTCACCACACAGTTGCAAATTAGGGTGGACCTATACTCACGTGCAACGCGCTTCACACTTTCTGTCATTTGAGTTACTTTCTAATCGAATATTATAAGCAAATTAGCTTTATTTTATTCAAAGAAATTAAGTGCATTTAGTGTATACCTAGTTGTGGAAAACACTGATTATACAAAACACTTTAGGAATTATATTTGGAATATAATTAAAAATAGTAATATAGGTGAATTTTGTTTGTAAGCTGTCACCAAATATTGAAAATGAACTTTCAATAACAGCGTTAAATGTTAATATAAGTTAATTTTAAATATTTTATTCATTGTTCTAATATGGAAATTTTTTGTCACACTTTTATTTTATAGAAAAAAATTGCAACAGCTACGGGTAGTTGAATTTTCGAAAAATCGAGTACCAGCAAGAACTCAGTGTGTTAATTTTAGTATAAGGAACACCACCCTAATATGCACACATATGTGCCAAGGATTCCATATTGTTGCTTTGTGTTTACACACAATTGGCCAATGGCCATTGAATTTGATGAGAACTAAGCTTATGTCCAGCATTTTGTCCAATACTTCCATTGTTCCCGGGACAGCAGTTCATACTTTCCGGAATTTGAATGTCTTCCCCAGCACACAAACTACATACTCACCACAATATGTTTCATAATTGATGGCAGTCATAAAATGTATTTGGTCAGGACATTAATTGAACCTGGCTTATTTTCGAAAGCAATCGAGATGGACAAAAAATAAAAGAAAATATATCCTTTATTATATTTTTTTTTAATATTTTGAGTAACTCCGTACCAAAACTTTGACAATTTTTGTACCTACATACATAATAATAAAAATGGATTAAACATATAAGTTTTTTAGAAATACCCATCCGTTGAGACTCGAAAACCAGTTCGCTTTGGAGACATATAAACCATTCATAAGGATACATAGTTATCGAAACTATCGCGATATTCAATGTCCTCCTCACATCCCTAAATATTATCGTTATCGTCAGCGAGGGTGCCAGCTGCGAAGTAGACACAATTTATCACACGTAAAGTTCATTTTAGCACTTTGCGGCCACTTCCGCCCGACGCACACCTACGGCCGGCCTCAAATTACAGGTGATTATGGGAATTTTAGTGCTAGACAAGCCGTTAGCAGGACCGGCTCCTCAAATATGTACGTTACATCCGGCAAATTGCCTAGCAGCCCTTTCGAGTGGCTGGGGTCTGATAAAAAAGGGGAGGGGCCCCTCGGCCCAAAATGGGCAACGAGCTTAACGAAAGTAAATATTTACCCTCTGATTTTATTCATTTACCGAAATTTATGGCCCCAGCGCCATGAAATTTGATGAGCAGTAAATAAATTTATGAATGCAATGCGGGCACTGATTTAAAATGCTAATTTAGCGCGTGAAACTTCAATGCGCGGGTCGAAAATCGTTGAGGTTTATGTATTGCGTGTATATAACTATACATATCTAAATTGGGATCTCCAAATTAGCAAAAATATTAAGTTTTAATAGAACCACAGATGGTTTGAGCATTTACTTCGAAAATTTGTAAGTAATAACATCATTGAACAATTTTACTTAACATAATAAAATATATGAATTTGACTTTGGTTGCTTTTATTATATCATATGTTTAAAAGAAACCTTAAATTATTTATTAATATTTTAATTAGCAAAAAATATATTTTCACATAATTGATAATTTTAATTACTAGATAGCCAAAAGCTATATACTTTGATCTTAAATAAATTATCTTGTATAGTAAATTAAAATGTATTCTCTAGCTTTTGTAAAAATAAATATTTATACAATTTATATTACAAATAATCTTAAATCTAAAAAAATTACTTGGGATGTGTTAAGTACCATCCTTATTAATGAAGTACCCAACTAAATTTTAAATTTAATTAGCTAACACTCGAACTAACTTCAGTGACCCACCTTCCATTACAGGCGCCCAGCACCTCTGGCAGCCAGATAGCCACCGTGTCCCACCTGGTCGCGCTGGCCAAGCAGCAGGGCAAGTCCACCACCAAGTCCTCGTCGGCCGTCAACGGGGCGGCCACATCGGGCCAGGGGGAGGATGGGCAGATGGGCAGACCAGAACGGGAGGAGCAGCAGGAGGAGCACGGGGACCCAGAGGAGCACGGTGACCAGGAGCAGCAGGATGGCCCACAGCCCGTAACCGCAACATCAGCAACGCCAGCGGCCGTGGCCGAGGACCAGTGCAAGGCCAACGGGGTGGAGGTCCTGGAGGATCCGCAGTTGCAGCAGCAGCTCGAACAAGTGCAGCAGCTGCAGAAATCAACGAAATCCGGCGGAGGAGGGGGCGGGGCCACTACGTCGAATGCCACCACAATTACGTCGATATCGGCGCTATCGCCACAAACACCGACTTCCCAGGGAATCGCCGCCGCCGCCGGACCGATGACGGCCAAAACCAGCATGCTGACGAGCTGCAACCAGTCGCATCCGCTCTGCGGCACCGCCACCGAGTCCCCCTCCACCCCCGAGCCACGCCCCCGGCAGCAGCCGCCCCCTTTGCAGCAGCAGTCGCAGCTCTCGAGCATCGCCAATCCCATGCAGAAGGTGAACAAGCGGAAGGAGACGCTGGAGGCCAAGAGGGAGCGCAAGGCGGCCAAGACGCTGGCCATCATCACCGGCGCCTTCGTCGTCTGCTGGCTGCCCTTCTTCGTCATGGCCCTGACCATGCCCCTCTGCGCCGCCTGCCAGATCAGCGACAGCGTGGCCTCGCTCTTCCTCTGGCTGGGCTACTTCAACTCCACCCTCAATCCGGTAAGTGGAATACTAAATGCCCAAGTGGCTGAGAAAAATTCAGCAGGAGGTTGGGAAAACTTGGCATGCCTATTTATGGAAGTTTCAAAAGGTTTAAGGAAAGATATTGAACATGCAAATTAAGTTAAATGCATTAGATATTAAACAACAAGCTAACCAATTACTTACGCACTACACACTATACCTAATTTGGAACTGGAATTATAGATTCTTAAACTATCCAAATTCAGCTTAGATGAGCATTATCAATAAAGGTTGATCAAGGATATTTTTTAAAACGTAATCATTTAAATATCACAATCACATTAGTGTAAACATTAAAACACATAAGCCATAGTAATCGTCATTCTTCTAAATGAGTTAATAAGTTCCATATTATGAAAAGTAATACATAAGAACTTCTCAAATTGAAAGATATTGAACATGCAAATTAAATTAACTGCATTCTTAAACTATCCAAGTTAAAATTAGATAAACATTATCGAAAAAGCTTGAACAAGAATATTTTGAAACGAAATTATTTATTAACATTAGTGTAAACACTAAAACACATAAGCCATAGTCATCGAACTTCTTCTGAATGAGTTAATAAGTTCCATATTATGAAGAGTAATTTATAAGAACTTCTCCAATTTTCTCCAGTCAGTTTAATTGTGTTAGACATATGACACTTCTTTACGTAAGACTTCCTTTCATTTTCCGGCCCTTATAGGACTTCTTTTCGTAGAACTGCTTCCCACTTTCCCTTTCATTGTTGAATAAATGTTCTCTCTTGCAGGTCATCTACACCATCTTCAGCCCGGAGTTCCGTCAGGCCTTCAAGCGCATCCTCTTCGGCGGCCACCGACCAGTCCACTACCGCAGCGGGAAGCTCTAGATAGTGCATGCGAAGAGGCGAAGGTGAGGTTCTTGATGAAACCAATACCCAGCAATATGGGTACACTTAAAGAAAAGCATATCACATACTATTTATCTTAAAACATTAGAAATACCTTAGACTTTTCGCTACAAACTTTATTTTTTGTTAAGGCCAAATAGGGAAACATCTATAAAGAAATCTATCTTTTTTTATTTGTAAGACTTTTTCCAAGAAATTAACTCTGATACTGTTTTAACGAATATGAAACAGTTTCCCAAGTTATTTGTAATCTCTGGAGTTAAATTGTTCATTCTTATGGTGATACTCAGAATCATCATAAGGCAACATTGAAATACCTCAGACTTTTCCCTTAAAAAATTTTTTTGTTAAGGGCAAATAGAAAAGAAAATGTTTTGAAGACTTCTATGTTTATTTATTTGTATGATTTTTTCGAAGAAATAAACTGTCATAGTGTTTTTACGAATAAGGAAATGGTTTCCAAGAAATTTATAATCTCTGGAGTTATATTGTGCATTCTTAATGTGATGCAATGATAATACACCGAATTTTCAAAATTACTTACAAAAAGGGGGGAAAATTCTGTGAAGACCCCTATGTTGATTTATTTGTATTATTTTTTCCAAGAAATAAACTCTCATAGAGGTTTTATGAATAAGCAAAAGTTTTCCAAGAAATTTGTAATCTCTGGAGCATTGTGCATTCTTATTGTGATGATGATACTTCGAATTTTCGAAATTCAACAGTTAATCCATGTTTCCATCCGACCATTGAAATATATGATCCCAAGACTTAAAAATTCAATTTGTATTATAATACAACAGGAACAATTTTTCTCTGTGCACACCAGTTATGGTTATTGTGTTAGTCAATTTGGCCGGCGGCCATTGGAAACCTTTTGAATCGACTCAACGCTCACGCAATTGCATTTTTATGTTATTGTCTCTCGCTGGCAAGTTTCAATTTCCAATCCTCGAAACCTGACCCAAAATTGATATTGCTCGAGTTGAGTGGAGGGGTCACGGCTGCAGCTTCTGGAGGAGTTTCGTGGTGGTTCTGCGATTCCTGACAGAATTTGAAACCATTGTTTGGGCCTCAAACGGGAGAAGAACTTTGGGCCAACAGCGAAACTTTTTTGAGACCTTTATCGGACCTGTCATCTGCACGCAACGATGTTGGTCAATGCATTAGATTTATGCCACATTACCCAGAACCCAACAGCCAACACCCCACCCCACAGAAAACCCTAAGCCAAGTCCCAATCGGGAAATGGGATTTTATCTACAAAGAAAAGCGCACAAGTTTTGAATAGTTACCATTTGCATTGCTGAAGGAAAAGCCATCTGCGTGTGGCAGCAGTTAAATCTTTGCCATTCATTCATTTTCATTTCCAAAGGCAACATGAAAGTTAAATTAAGTAACATTAATTTGCAGAAATGCTGCTTAGTTTGGCGCCTCGCCATTTCGATTAACTTTTCCGTGAATGCAGAAAGTTTTTAGCCCTTACAGCGATTCACACTTTACTAATGAATTGCACTACTTTTGCAGACGCTTCTGCTAAACCGACAAGCGGATGTTGATCTAACCTCTTCGGCTATAACCAGCGAGGATTTACGCATCTTGTATACCAAAGGACGATAAAAGGATAAAGGACGAGGGATCACGGAGCAGTCGCATAACCATTAGTCATTAAGTGTGTAAATAGCGGATTGAATTGATGTTAACACCTATGCAAATATATTCTGTTAGACTTAGCTAAATTTATAGAGCCAAGTGGAGACTGTTTTTAGAAGCAAGAAGTTGATTTGTGAAGAGATGCCACCAAGGAAACACACAAGTATCTAATCAAAATAACTAGACCTAAGCCACTACCGCATAACTGACATATAGAGCAATCTACTACCAATTTTTATGTGTTTTCCAACTTAACGTGAATTGTATAACTCATAACTTGTTAGGTGTTAGGCTCCATCTCTCCACTCTGCTTCGAGGAAGGGGCGTTGACTTAGGATCGGGAATTGGGAACCAAGGCATTGGAATCGTTATAACTGAAGCGAGTACTCGATTATGTATAGCCCAGCTAGAGACATTTAATAAGCGCATTGATCAGCGATCGAGTACGCATTTTAGACTTACGTACATTTGTTGAGCATCGTACTAATCTGTAATATTGATATAGGATCTACAACTTATCGAACCGGTGGAAGCCAGTTTAAATTAAATTTAAGCGTATTGTTAAAGCCACACCTAGGTAAATTACTTATAAAACTGTTGTATTATTACGTATGTGTTAGATCGGTAATTATGTGTCGAGGATTTCTTTGAATAAGCTGGCATATTACGTATCTTATAAGCAAACAGTTCGAATGACGTGTAATATTTGAAGAGCAAACTACTTTCGGGAAAAATGGGTAAAACGTAATTAGCTAAACCAAACAAACACGTAAGAAAATACATTGCATAATGATGCATAATAGTTAGGATTAAGCGAAGCGTATCGGCGAATATCACGATGTTTTACCTTCATTAAACTACCAAGCGAACTATTCGAAAACCAAAATCAAAACTCTACGAAAACTTTAAGCCGACATCATTACCTAGTGACTAAGTGTTTGCAGATCTGTCTATCTTTAAATACAAAATACCAATAGTAATAAAGCATATCTCATTGACGCCATACTTGGCAATAATTCAAATAGACACCCACACAATTTTCTATCTAAAATTCGCCAAAGGCGATTGCTCTTATTTGTTGCAACTTAATTTATTCTTTTCGGTTCATACAAATTGGCGCGCATTTTTAAAAGAATTATTGCCGGGTATGTGGGTCGAATTTTGGGGATTTTCGCAAAACAAAGCATAAGTTAAACTAACGAGATTACTATAAAATTCATTGGCTGCAATTTAAATAAAAATTCAACTTTCATGCAAGAAAGAAGGGGCCGTGTTTTATTCGTAACTCTAATATATGTGGTTGGGCTCGGTAAATAAAAAATTAAAATAAATTTAACTTAAACTGTTTTCTTGAAATTTAGAGAATTTTATATAACAAGCTTTTAGAAAAAGAGTTTAAGGCCAGGTTCAGGCCAATTTTTTCTTCAACTTGCGATGTCATTTTACAAATGTGAGTGGAGTCTTTTATAATTTTATTGTAATTTGAACAAAGTACAATAAAAACAAGGAAGAACGCTATAGTCGAGTTCCTTGACTATCAGATACCCGTTACTCAGCTAAATAGAGATATGCAAGCAGCAAAGCGAGATTAAAATGCGCCACCTACCGGCGGTATACAATCGATAGGTAATGACGAGACCAATACATTTAAGTTACAAATTTTTATCTAGCATAAAAATTGTGGGCGTCACAGGTTTTCGCGGTTTGTGGGCGTTAAAGTGGGCGTGGCAAACTTTTTTTTGGGTCAATCGATAGGTATTGATGAGAACAATACATTTCAGTTAAAGTTTTAATTCTAGCACCAAAACTGTAGGAGCCACAGTTTTGGGCGGTTTGTGGGCGTTAGAGTGGGCGCGGCACTCTGCTGAAACAAACTTGCGCTGCGTAAGAAGCTCAGGAATCTGCACGCCAAATCTCAATAGCCTAGCTCCCATAGTTTCCGAGATCTCAGCGTTCATCCGGACGGACAGACAGACGGACAGACGGACAGACGGACAGACGGACAGACGGACATGGCTAGATCGACTCGGCTAGTGATCCTGATCAAGAATATATGCACTTTGTGGGGTCGGAAACGCTTCCTTCTGCCTGTTACATACTTTCCGACGAATCTAGTATACCCTTTTACTCTACGAGTAACGGGTATAATAATGGGAAACTAAGCTAAGACTTACTAAACTTTATAAAGCAAACATAAATAATTAGTTTTTATAAGTTCGGAGTGCATTTGAGAAAGTTTTTATTGATTTTTTAGTTTGTCTCAAGGTACAAGTTATTATCTTCAGGGTACTAAATCTTAATAAAAGCTCACAAGCCAAAGTTGTTCCAAATTCGAAAAGCGCGGTTTACAATGCGGTGTTGCCAGCATACATTTTATGCTATACTTTACAATCGATAACCGTTTGTAAACTTTTTATCGTTACTTATCGATAGTTGGGCGCCTAGCACATTTATCTTTAAATCAACCAGAATTCTACGAGTGTTATACAGAGTTGAAATAAATTGTAAACGTTATAATTACTCTCGCAGTACTACTGTGTTATATGAAACGGAAAACCTATTTCTTGAATGGGAAACATGAAACATTTTCTGCTTGCATAATAAATATAACGCAGTTTAAATCCAGTCAGCTAACAATTTCTTAAGTAAATATTATACGACCATAAAATTAAATAATGCACTTTCATTTATTATCTTACGCTTACAAATACATACAAAAATACAATCATTTGGAGCTATTCATAAAATATTTTACAGGGCAATGCAGCGGAATGGAAATTGGGGAAAATGCTGATGGCAGTATCCAAGAATACTATTTTCCTTGGCGAACAAGCTTATTTACAGCGGCCAACTACTGGGTATGGTATCCCCTATCCATTAGGATATCAAGTCGGCGATGTAGGTGAAGAGATCGTCCGGGAAGTTGCATTGGTCCAAGTCCCTGCCCAAGGCAAAGTATCTCTTCCGGAGGAGATGGGCAGCCGCTTTGGGTTGACGGGCTCGGGTAAATACGCCCTTTTTATTGCCGCCCACGCGGGTATAGCCTGAATTTAAAAATATGTTTATAAATGTACTACTTAAAATGACTACCAAATTAGGAATCACTCACTTTGAGCTGTTTTAAAGTCGGCAAAGTTCCACACAAACTCGCCAATAAACCATCCTTTCTTGCGCAGCTCGTCGAAGGCTTTAAAATGACGGGAAAACACCTCTGTCTGGAATTCCTCCGACCACACATAAGCTGGTTGCTAAAAGTACAATGAGATATAATTTATAGATTACCTAACTTTGTTTTAAAATAATGTATTCATTGAACAATCCAAAAGGGACTACAATCGGGTAAAAAATGCATTTCTAGATGCCGTTTTTCAAACCAAAATTGGCATTTTATTTTAAAAACTATTATATATGTATATACTTCCATGATAACTTACCATATGCAAACCCTCCAGGGTATCCGCTCCATACTCAGACATGATAATGGGTTTGTTGTAATGTTTGTTCCAGGCGGTGGCCTCATCGATCACGTTCTGGGTAACCATGTCCAGACGACCGGTGTTCGAATACCAGGCATTATAGCGATTGAAGCTGATAATGTCCAAAGAACGTCCCTGGGGAGAAATACTATATAAGAAAGGATCCGCAGTTGATGCAACCTCAACTTACCGCCTTGTCCTGGGTGTGGGGAACAGCAATGGCAGCCGTAATGGGTCGGGAACTATCCAGCGAGCGTGTGTAATTGGCCACCAATCTGAAATGATTTAGTACCAAATAAGTCACTGGAAGATCAATATATACTTTAAAGATACCCACTCGAAGTACGAGTCCGCACTCATGCTGCCAGTTCGGGGTTCATTTGCAATGGACCACATCACAACACTCGGATGATTGCGATCCCTATGGATGAGCTGTTCCAGCGACGACTTATGCTTGCCCAGCAGCTCCTGGCTGAAGTTTCTAAAAAACGAGAACAACAGCTTCAGTAAGAATTCCTCCGAGGAGTGGGAATGACTCAACTCTGTATCCACACTAGGACACTCGTCGATGATCATGATTCCGTGCTCATCCGCGAATTGCATAGACTCTTCGGAATACGGATAATGGGATGTGCGGTACGAATTCGCTCCAATCCATTTAAGAAGGTTGAAATCCCGAACCATCACGGCATTATCTAGACCTTTACCCCTGATATCCGCATCTTCGTGTCGCCCAAATCCACGGAAATAAACGGGCTTGCCGTTGATCAGGAACTGCTTTTTGTTCCAACTCAAAGTGCGTATGCCCACTTTGAGCCGATAGACATCCAGGAGCTCCTCGTTGGTCGCCAGCAGTTTGATCTCCAGCTCGTACAGATAACCGGGTTCCGGGTGCATTAGGTAGGGCCACCACGGTTTCACTTGGTTTACTTGCAACGTTCCTCCCAGTTTTCCGTCGGAAGTTGCATTGGCTACCAATTTGCCTTCCTTATCGTACAAATTGGCCTGAATTTGCAGGACATTATCCGCCTCGTTGGCTGCGCTTCCATTCACACTAACGCTATAAAACACCTCGCCAACTGCAATTAAGAGGATTATTATTAGTACAGAGATCTTGAGAGGTTGCAAATCAAACCAAGAAAGAGCCATTATAGAGATAGAACCCCTAGTAATGGGCACTAAAATCTTACCAGTGGCATCCCCCGAAAGGTTTGTGGTGACCTCAACCTCCTCGATAAAAGTGCGGGGCGTGGTGTACAGATGCACGCTCCTGTGGATCCCCGCATAGTTGAAGAAGTCGAAGGTGTAGCTCTGCACAATGGTCATCCCTCCATCGTTGGGCACTTCCGTGATCCTGCCCTGCGGCACAGTCGTCTGGATCAGAGCGTTGTCGCACATCACTGTAATCCGGTTCTCGGCCCCGTAGTTCAGAAGGTCCGTCACCTCAGCCTCGAAGGGCAGGTGACCCATCTCGTGCTTCACTACCTTCTGGCCATTGATCCACTG